TTCCATGAACAAGTGAGCAGACTCACTTAAGAATGCTGATTGTCTTCCCTGTGTTTACAAAGGAGCATGAAAATCTGTGCAGTCAACAGAGTGAGGAAGAGAAATAGAGAAGGATGGGGAGTGAGAGAAAAGGAGAGAGAAGGCAAAGGGGTGGATGGAACATGAAGAAGTGAGAGCAGAGACAGGGTGAGCTGACATGGACCCAGGGGAACAGGACCTTGCAATCCCAGGTGTCTCTTCTCCAGGAGGAAAAGGCTGCCTTGGTTTTGGCAGCATTACAAATCCAGTGACCCTCACTGAGTGCCCAGCAAAAACCATAAACAGCAAAAGCAAATTTGCCAAAAGATCAAAGTGGTAACATTTTTTAACCTACTGTTTAATGTTTTTAGTAGTGCATTGCAGTGAAAGCTAATGTTGGGGTCCTATTGACACAATCACACAAGCCTGGAATATAATTGGGTCCACCTTGGTCCCCAGTAAATTCTCATTCCCTCCTCTCCTCCCACCCACGAACCCTAACCCTTCCTGATGTCAAGGCACCTGACAGATTATACACTTCAAATAATAAAATGACCTAAGTTCAAACATCAACAGTACACAACAGCAGATGCCAAAGTACGTACAGAAAGTTGAGAACTTTTAATATGAAATGGCACATCTGTCTTCCCTGCTCACCCAACCTATTGGCTTTTCCCTAGATTCATAGCAGATAAGGCAGGCCTCTTTCTGTTTTAAAATTCACACAGAATTATTGTACCTGTTTTTGAGTATACATGTGATAATTCAATATATGTATGTGTTGTGTGCTGCTCAAATCAGGGTGATTAGCATTTCATTCTCCTTAGACACCATTTCTTTGATTCCATGAATTGTGGAATCAATTCATGGATGTTCTTGGGCTTGAGTGTATCTTCCTTTTTATATTTGTTATTTTGTTAGACACATAATAATGTATAGGTATTTTTATCAGGTATTTTTTTAATGTTTTGATACATGAATACACTATTGTCTAATGTCAGATCAGGGTACTAGCAATAAAATGTAAGAATAAATTGCTAGAGACTTGTAAATTAAAGATTAGAAAGTATAACATAAAGTTATGATGGCATCTTATCTAAAGATAAATAAACTCTAATTTATTTGTGGAGGATGGAGGTGATCTTTAGTGAAATGATGAAGGGGAATGCCTTCCAACTGCTGGCCAAGATGATGAGGCTTTTGGAAATGCACCTACATGCAACCGTGCAAAATCAAGACACAGAGACAAAACAGAGATGGGAAAATAAATTGGAAATGTTCTGAAAAGGTGACTTATTAGCACAAAAAGTGCAGAAAAACTTTCATCAGCATTTCCATTTAAACTGAGGATTCCCAAGAGAAGAAATATCACATTGTTGAGTCAGAACTTTCAGAATGAAGAGCCCTGGCAGGAACCCAGTAACAAACACTCATCTATTGGAAGACATTAAAATCTGCAGATTTGCAGACACTCTTCACACACACATCTCCCCCTATGCGCTGTGCTTATGTAAAAGAAACAAGTGGCAACATCAAAATCAGTGAAAAATACTCTGTCTGAAAGAATAAAATGGAAAAAGAAAGATGGGGAAGGAATACACTCCAACCAAAAGCTAAAGGTTTTAACAATTTGAAATAGAGAATTCAACAGCTTTCCAATTTACTTCATCTTGACAGTTTATTTAATAATTGCAAAATAAAATGCTATGGCATGCCCATTTCACTTATTATGTAAATTTATTTTTCATTTGGATAATATTCAGAATGAAACAAGATTCTGTGAAATATCTGTATCAAGAGTTTCTCCTACAGGGATTTATTTGCAAAAAAAAATCTTAAATCTGGATCTTTTTTACAAATATGAAAATGTGCTAAAATATGCTCCTTTGTCATTTTTTTAAAAATGAGCTCCCTCCAATGCATATCTCTTCATACTTAATTCTGGATTTACCCATTCCCCTATCTTGCAAAGGTACACAGACTTACATTTCACTTTAATTTGAGCCACTTCATGCCTCCCATCCCTCTTCTAATTGAGCTTCTGTAACCATAAGTTAATGGTCAACAATGACCCCATGTTGCTGATTTCTGGATCACTTCTCTTTTTAGTATCTTATAAATCCATTAATAAATTATATAAGCTAGCAAAGGACACCGCCATCTCTGGGCTGCAGGCCAGGCTAGTTGGGCTCTCAGGGAACCTCAGGTGGAAGCTCCTGCCTTCCTTCTCTTCAGTCCTCTCCTGCAGTGTCTGCTGGGTCCTCAGGCTCACCTGGGTGGCATCTCTGAGGGAAGGGTCTTCATGCACAGGCTTCAGTTCTTCCCTGGATGTTGAAGGTGCAGAGTGAGGATCTGACCCCAGACAAGAGAACAGGAATGGATCCAGCTTTGTTCCTCAAGTCAGATTTCAAGATCCTGAAGAATCAATGTGCCCCAGGGTGTGCACTCAGGGAGAGCAGGAGCAATCACAGCCTACAGCTGTCTCTATCTGCTCATTAGGCACATGTCCTTTTTACTCTAACCCCCAAGCACCCGATTTCCCTGCAGGACTCTCGTCTATACAGGAAAGGAAGGGTTTGCATAGATTCCCCTGAGATCAGAGTGGAATCAGGCAAATTCTCCCCTTATTACCACCAATCAATCAATGCCACCTTCCCAAAGTCCCAACCTCCCTTCACCATATCCCTCGTCTGACATATAGTTTACTTCCATGTCTGAAGCTAAGAAATTTGCTTTGGTTAGGAGTTCTATGTCTTCAAAACACTGACTCACATTGGGAAGACAGCCTCTGGTGTCTCCAGAATTTTCCTATTTCCCTCTTATCAGAAAAGCATTCACTGTATTTGTTTGTTTGTTTGTTGGCTGGTTGGTTGATTTTTTAATGTGAAGCCATAAGACAACCCATCCTATATTCATCACACTTTGCCAATCACACCTAGAATGTCATGCTTCTAATAAACTCATGTTTCTAATAAGGGACCAATTATGGCTCTTGATTTCAGATATGAGTTGAGTTTGAAGAAATGAATAAAGATCTCTTCAGGCACCACGACCTGAGCTGTCTTCCTATTTCATGCTCATTCAAAGTTGGCTCTTTTCATATCCCTTCTCTGACATTTCAAGATGAAAAAATGGACATTTGTATGTACATCTGTATCCATTTGGGTTGACAATTCAACTTTTAAGCAAAATGTCTTACAAATCCAGAGGCACACATGGTCTTATTCTCACCCTGCACCAAGACCACTTTCTGTGGTATTTTCCACACATTTCATTTACTCCTCACAACATTGGTCTGAACTTATGCTTATTTCCAAAGATTACCTTCAGAAAAAAAGGAGCATTGGGAAGATTAATTTTCTTGATATTAGAGTTTTAATGGAGCCACATAAGTGTCACATATTTTTAGGGCACCATGTGATGTTTCCATACTGGTATACATTGGGTAATGTCCAGATCAAGGTAAGCATATATACCTCCCCAAGATTTATCATTTCTTTGTGGTGAAAACACTCAAGAGTGGTTTAAAAAAAAAGGAAAGTGAAAAAGGGAAGGGGGAGAGGAGGAAAAGGGGAAGTAATGGGGACTAAGTTGGAGCAAATTATATTTCATGCTTTATGATTGTGTCAAAATGAATCACAAAATTATGTATAATTATAAAGCACTAATTGCAAAGGATATTAGATTCCATCATTTTTGAAATATGCAGGACCTTATCATGACTGTACTGTGCAACAGAACAGCAGAACCCCTTCCTCCTACCTGACTACAACTTAGTACCCTGGGCCCAACCTTCTCTGTCCCTCCTGCTCCCTTACCCTTTCCAGCCTCTGGGAACCAGCATTCTGCTCTGTGCTCCTGTGAGAGAAACTTCTGTGCCTTCTACACGTGAGTGAGGTCCTGCCATACTTGTCTCTCTGTGTCTGGCTTATTGCCCTTCATACAGTGACCTCCAGTTCTCTCCATAGGATCAAGGATGCCAATTTTATAACAATTATATATAAAACAGTTAAACCTTATTGAGCACATTCTTCAATTTAGCACATGAGGGGAACTGTTCATAGTAATGTTTTATATCTTTTTATGAATAACTGTGAAAGAAGAGCTCAAACTCTCCAGAGCAGACGTCGTTAGGAATAGATGGAAGCATTAATTATCTTCGTTTTATCAATACTTACTGTGCTCAAGTATTAAAGTATTACACTGTACCCACACCTACATGCAATTATTACATGTTAATTACACATGTTTCTGAAATTGTTTAAGAAAATAGACTTGTTGACTATCCTAACATGATCATTACACACTGTATACATGAATTGAATTAATATGCCACTCTCTAATAATTTGTAGAATTAAGAAAATAATTTGGAATGAAATATCTTAAATTATGCATATAAATAAATTGATAAGATAATAGAATAAATCAGACAATATTACCCTATGTGCATAGCATACATGATTATAAGACCTGTATTACTCTACATGATGTATAACCCCATGAATGAAAAGTTATACTCCATTTATGTATGATGTATCAAAATGCATTCTACTGTCATGTATAACTAATTGAAATAAATAATTTTTTAAAAAAATATATTAAAAGAAACACTGATAAGAAAATAAAAAAACTAGGGAAAACATATGATATATTGTGTACTGTGGAAATTTTCCTCATTACTACTAATTATTTACCTACCTATGATGTCACCCCTATAACATCAAGTTTTAAACCTCAAATGTGGACAATAAAATGTACCCTAAAAATAAAGTAAATTAAATTCAAAGTAGCAAAATAGACATGAACAGATTATTTCAAAACAATCAGAATCTTAAAAACTCAAGAAGAAATGTTCAATGTGCCTGAGCCAGTGACCAAAAGAATAAATACAAACGGTTTAGGAACATGAACCCATGCTCAACTTCATGAGTACACAGAGAAAGTCACATTAAAATCATCAAGGGAACTTTAAATACCTTACCTTGGTGTTCACTTTAGTCCTAAAACTCAACACCCAGAGATAGAGCGCTTCTTTGTTGGGGAGAATCCCGGCAGAAGGAGTTTGTATCAGAAGCTTCTCTTTTCTTTGACCTTGAGCTTTAACATTGGAAGAGCTTCTCTAGAGCCAGCTGGACATCAGGTCTGGGAGCCGGGCCTGGTCCACACAGCTTGGGGGGGGGGGCTCTTCATCCACTCTGTGACCTCAAGCTCGTTGCCTGGTGACCATAAGGTCCTGCTAACTCATGAAGGAGTGACCAGGAACCTCCAGAGACAGTGTGGAGGTACAACCAACTGGCAAATGCTGAGAGGAGTTTTAAAATCTTTAATTTAATGTTTACTGACATATGATTGTATATATCAATAGGGGTGAGTGTGGCATTTTAGCACATACTATGGAGTGTGCTGAATGAAACAGCTTAAGGAAAATTTCCCTCCCCATATCACTACCTTATGATTCCAGGTCTGTGCTCCTCACTTCAGATCTTCATAAAACACATGTCAAGATCTGGGCACTGCATCCCCCACCCACCGGCAGTCTCTGAGAAACACCAGGACTGGGTCTTCCTATTCACCTGTGTTCCTGTACCTGTTATCCAGCCTCCCCTGCTCCTCCTCCTCCTGCCTCCTTCCCAGCCTCCAGTGTCACTATTCTGTATATAGATTGAGGCTCCTTTGACCTCCACATAGGAGCACCTGCAGTATGGCTTCTTTCATGGGATACAATGGCCTGTCCCATTCCTTGTGTTAAAATGACAGAATTTTAATCTTCTTGAAGACTGAAGAGCTCAGTTATGGATATACCTCATTTCTTTACATCCACAGATGGGAAGCTCAGCTGGTTCCATACCTTGACTACTGTGAAGAAGGTGGGGAGTGCAGATACGTCTTTGCGTGCTGAGTTCACCCCTTCTCTTGCTTTATTATCAAGATCTACCTCCATGAGTCTGGATTATTTTTCTGCCTCAAAGCCTCTTAGATCATCTGCCCATGTATTGTTTTGTGGCTCAGACTCTCTCTTCTTTCTCTTCAATCATCTCCTAATTTTCATTCTATTCAACTAAAATTCACACAGGACAAACTCCTTACCAGGAACTGTAGGAGACATCATGGGTGCAGGCACAGATGAGATAGGGTTCAGGAATTCATAGTGAGTGAGTGGAAAACTTCAATAAGAGGCTCAACATATGGGTGACACCAAGGCCACATCAAGGTCATCTCGACAACAAAGTGCCTGAAGAACTTAGGAAGACCTCAAGGCCAGTGCTATAGTTTCAATCTTAAGTGTCACCCAAAGGCCCTGTGTTAAAGCTTCATCCCCAGCTTGGTGCTATTGGAAGATGGTAGAAATAGTAACAGGAAGGTCTAGTGCGAAATCTTAGTTCATTTGGGAATTGCCCTTGAAAGGGCTTGTAGGACCCCTACCTGTTCCTCAATTTCTTCAACTTCCAGGCCATGAGGTCAGCGGCTTTCTTTTGCCACATTCTTGCCACCCCTAGTCATGTGCTCATTCCAATAGGGCCAAGCCATGGGGCCAATCCAAAACACATTGTAATCTTGAAAACTGTGAGCCAAAATAAATGTTCTCTCCTTATAAATCCATTATCTCAGGTGTTGTGTTAGAGTAACAGAATGCTGACTCGCATAGAAAGTGCATAATGCAAGGACATTACCAATAGTTTAGACCCACTTGCAGAAAAGGCTTTGAATTTGTTCCTGACTGTCAAAATTCTAGAATAGAAGCTAAGGACACTGCTATGTTATTGATGAGGTTGCGTGAATAGGGGAACTCAGGATTCTGGCAAGTCCAGAACACTGTGGGGTTCCTATATTTGTGCAGAAGGGGGGCAGTAGAAGAGGTTTACTTAAGTAAAAGCCATATTCTAAATGAAATATTCATCAGTACTGTCTTCTCTCATCTCTATGTAGTAGAGACCAAGATCAATGAATTGTCATATGCCAACATTTCTTTTTGTCCCAAATCTGTTTATTTCAATATCCATCAGTTTTACACCAACCCCAAAAGCAGAATTCACCACAGTCTTTGTACATTTTGTGTGTGGGTTGACATTGTCATCAAGATGGTGTTGTCTTTCATTTACCAGCTCTCATTAGAAGAAAGCACATGAGGGTAATTTGAAGCCTAGGATGCACCAGGACAGCAATGACATCTTTCAATTCCATGGGAGAAAGTGAACAGCAATTATGAGTTCAGGAAGAAAGGAGAAATACATCAACATTTAAACTATTTACAAATGGCTTGCTCTGCTTTCCCTTTTGATTTATAATTCTTAATGGAACTTTCCATTTGGAGAAAGTTGTGGATTAACATGCAGTAGTAAAAAAAAAAAAAAAAGACAGAGAGAAATCCAAAGACTCTTTAGTCAGTTTCCACCCTGGTAACACTGAGCAAAATATCACAGGCAACTTATCAGTGCTGATAACAAGGAAATGAACACACAGAGCAAGGAGAAGCTCACTGCTCATGTCTTACCATATCATTCACACAGGCTCAGATAGAAAGTCAAGCTAAGTGCCCATCACCAGAGGAGTGAAGGGATAAAACGAGGGATATATACAACATGGAACACCATTTATCCTCATGTAGGATGAAATCCTATCATTTAGGCCAATGTGGATGGTACCGGAGCACATTGTGCTAAGTGAATAAGGCAGATACCAAAAGAAAAGTAATTCATGGTGTCTCTCAAACGAAGAAGATAAAAATAAAATAAAATAAATTCTAACTTGAATATAGAATACAGATTAGTATACATCAGGTTGGAGAGGGTAGATAATGGATGGCTATATTTGATGAATGTTCACCATGGGCACGTGTGGAAATATCACACTGAACCTCCTTAATATTTACAGTTATATACACTCATCAAATAACAAACAGAACAGTTCCCAGGAGTCAAGGATCCCAAGTTTTGCCCTGTTGCAGTCCCATCCACCTTTCTCCCTGCCCAGTGCCTGGACCCCCAGAGCCATCAATCTGCTCACCATTTATATATTGTTAGCATTTCAAAAGTGTTGTCTATCACATAAGAATATGCACCTGGGAAAATGGTGGAGTAGATACCTCTGGGGACATGACCTGTTTTGCCCATGACTATGTTAGGCACTATGGAAAGCACGCTGAAATAGAAGCACTATCTAAATGTGAGAATGAAACCTAATGACCAGCTAATACCTTGGGAAGTTAAAGGTTACCTTATTAAAAATGGAGGTTTTGGAAATAATATATGAAAAAAATTAAAAATACAAAATTGAATATCTATTCTCTTCCATGCATGGTGCACACTTGCAATCCTAGTGACTCAGGAGTCTGAGGCAGGGGGATCACATCAAAGCCATCCTCAGCAATGTAGTAAGGCCCTAAGCAACATAGCAAGACACTGGCTCAAACAAAAAACAGAAAGGACTGTGCCTATGGCTAAGTGGTTAAACAGCTTTGGGTTCAATCCATAGTACCAAATTTTATTTTCTCAGATTGACTTCCACAATAAAATTATTAAAATTAACTTTAGTTGTTATATACTTTTTTCACATGTGAATAGTAATTTTGCATATTTTAAGCAAAATGAACAATTCCTTAACATGACATAAGTCATTTGAGATTATTTCTAAAAATATATCTTTTGGGATAAATGAGAATTTTCAAGTATTTCTCATTCAAAGTGGGAATAATTTGGGACAAGTTCTAAATGACAGGGGATAGGGTTGAATTTCATAGTGATCATAGTGTGCAATAAAGTGAAAGGTGTAGTGGGATTGTATGTCGAAGTTAACTCTGAGTTAACATAGAAGGATCCAGTCCTACTTCCATATTCCAGTGAAGAATTGCAGATTCTGCTACTGAGGCTCTGATCCCTGCAATCATGGGCACTTATTCAGTCTCAGCACAATTAACACTTTTATCTTCCTGTGTCACAGAGTCTTCTCAGAGCGCTCTTGATGTCCTTGTTTCTCAGACTGTAGATGAAGGGGTTCAGCATGGGGGTGACCACAGTGTACATCACTGAGGCTGTTGCAGTAGAGTGTGAGTTTTGGGTCACAGCAGAACTGAGGTACACACCTTGGCTTGTGCCATAAAATAAGGAGACCACAGAGAGGTGAGATGCACAGGTGGAGAAGGCTTTGTACTTGCCCTGAGCTGAAGAGATTGCACGGATGGAGGACACTATTTTGAAGTAAGAGGAAAGGATGCCAATGAGGGGGCCAAGAGCCAGCAGGAAAGAAGCAATATATATCAACAACTCATTGAGAAAGGTGTCAGAGCAGGCACGCTGAATCACCTGGTTAAGTTCACAGAAAAAGTGTGGGATTATTTCCAAGTCTGTGCAGAAGGACAGCCGCAATATCATTGAGCTATGTAACAATCCATGTAAAAAACTCACAAACCAGGACACAAGAACTAGCAATCCACAGAGCCTGTGGTTCATGATGACCATGTAGTGCAGGGGGTGACAGATGGCCACATACCGGTCATAGGCCATCACAGTCAAAAGGAAGCCATCCAACCCAGCAAAGAGTACAAAAAAAGTGAATCTGGGTGATGCAGCCTGCATAGGTAATGGCCTTGCTCTGTGTCTGGATGTTCGCCAGCATCTTTGGGACAGTGTTGGACGTGAAGCAGATGTCTACAAAGGACAAGTTGGAGAGGAAGAAGTACATGGGTGTGTGCAGGTGGGAGTCTGAGATGGTTGCCAGGATGATGAGCAGGTTCCCCAGCAGAGTGACCAGGTACATGGACAGGAAAAGGCCAAAGAGGAGGGGCAGTAGTTCTGGATCCTCTGTAAGTCCCAGAAGAAGGAATTCTAAATGTTGAGTACCATTCCCTGGTTCCAAATGCATTTGACTACCAGAAATAAGAAAAAGAGCATGACTAATTTTTACAGACAGGTATTACTTACATCATTGAAATAAAACAATACATATTTTGCTATAAAAATAATTTTAGTGAGGTGTATGTAGGTCATGTTGGAGTGGTTGCCTAACATATGCAAGGCCCTGGTTACCACCCACGTACCTCAAAAAAAAAAATAGGGCTGGGGATGTGGCTCAAGCGGTAGCGCGCTCGCCTGGCATGCGTGCGGCCTGGGTTCAATCCTCAGCACCACATACCAACAAAGATGTTGTGTCCGCCGAGAACTAAA